CTTTGGTAAGAAATATATGTGAAGGAAACAGCTCAAAAGGACCAGCTGTCACTACCATCCATATCTGCACATAGAAAATATCCTGTTGACATTTCCTTCCTACATCCTCAGTTTTAGATCTAAGAAGCTCGGCTAAGGATTACAATCAACTAGGCAGCTTTTGTCTCATCCAAGCTTCAGCAGAACTGTTCTGATGCCCAACCACAATGGGTGGGTGGGTGGGGGGAACTGTGATTATAAATACCACCCAACTCATCACTGCCAGTTTCTGAGTAAGATACTGGCAACATCCCACTCCACTGTAGTCCACTGGCCTCCATGCTATTCTTCCCACTTTCCAGGTATACTGTGGCTTTTGTCCTTTCTCAAATTTGTCCTCTGGATGTCCACGTGGCCCTATCCTTCTGGGAGGGGGAGGTTTCTCTGCCCTGTCTATTGAAATCACTCCACTCGAGCCAATACTATTTGGTCTTCCTGCTGTATTTTTCCTTTTGCCTCCTATCACCATCAACATGGAACACGTATATTTGACATATTTGATGAGATGAGTTTATCCACTAGGATGTAAGCTCCATGAAAGCCGTTATCTCACTGCCATATCCTGTGTGCCTAGAACACATATATGCTGGCATATAATAGTCACTTGATAAATATTTAATGAATGAATCAAGTAGAGAGGGCTCAAAAATCCTTGGTGCATGTCATAGCTTTTGACTACAATATTTAAATTGAAGACCAGTGGCAACCTTACTAGGAAAGAGCTTTTAATATCTATTTTTTTAGGAGAATGTCAATTAAATTGTTTTTAATGTTTACTTATTTTTGAGAGAGAGAGAGAAAGAACGAGTGGGGGAGGGACAGAGAGAAAAGGAGATACAAAATTCAAAGCAGGCTGCAGGCTCTGAACTGTCAGCACAGAGCCCAAAAGAGGGTCTGAACCCATGAACCACAAGATCATGACCTGAGCTGAAGTTGGATGCCCAACTGACTGAGTCTCCCAGGCGCCCCAGTAGACTGTCAATGAAATAAACACATATAAATAGACAAATTCATGTTTCACACATTCTCCTCTTTCCTTCCCCAAATCAACACACTTTCCAATACCCACCCCAGAAAAATGAGAGACTACAGGAAAAATGCTTCTCTTATCTGACTGTTTAGGTCTAAAATTTTGGAGATTTTCTCATACCTACATTCAGTTCAGAATCTGTAACCACTCTCACTGTCTTTACTGCTATTGTTTCTTCTACCCAGAATCAACTCTTGCCTGAAATATGCCAAAGTGTCTTCTAATGGTTTCCCTGCTTCCAAATTTGACCCCCCACAATCTTTATTTCCCAATCACTCATAGTGTTCTGGACTGAGTTGTGGCCTTCTAGAATTCATATGTTTAAGATGTAACCCCCAATGTGACTGTATTTGAAGGCAGAACCTTTAGGGAAGTAATTAAGGTTAAACAAGGTTATAAGGTTAGGACAGTAATCTGACAGGCCTCTCTCCTTATAATAAAGGATACCAACAAGCTTAGTCTCTCTTTGCCATGTGAGGACGTTGCAAGAGGCAGCTGTCCTCAAGCCATGAAGAAAGCTGTCACCGGAGCCCAACCATACTGTCACCCTGATCTCAGACTTCCAGCCTTTAGAACTAGGAGAAAATACATCTCTGTTGTTTAATCACACAAGCTGCCTAATGGCACACATGGAGTAATTCTTTTAAAACCTAAGACACACTAAGACCTCCCTCTGAGTAGAACCTTCCAATGGCTTCCCACTCCTCCCCGACTATGAACAGTCTTAACAATCCTAGCAATTGCCTCTGGGAACCTATAAATTCTGGCTCCGTTTCTAATCCCATTTCCTTCTACTCTCCACATGTCATTTCCTTCAGTCTCACTGGCCTCCTTCCTGAACCCACCAGGTATGTGCTTATCTCAGGGTCCTGCTGGAATCTTCTTTCCCTAGGTATTGGCATGAGTCACTCCCTCACTTCCTTCAGGCCTTCACGCTAGTGTCATCTTTTCCTTTAGCACTACTCTTGACTACACACATTAAATTGCAAACCTTCTCCCTGCAGACTGCATTGATGAGCCTCACTTCTCCTGCTGTCTTTTCCCATAACATTTGCTTCCTTTCAACAAACCATATCATTTACTCATTTATTTTTTATATTTTATTGTGTGTTTCTTTCAGTTAGAGTATAAGCGTTTGGCTGTTTGGTTCACTTCTTACGCTGCTTACCACATAAAATGTGTTAAGTAATTATTCGTTAAATAAAACTGATAGAGAGGCCGATAACCTGGATTTCAGGCCCTGTACTACTCCTACCATGCTGTATGACTTGGACTTACAGCTCTTTCTTTGTGTGTAATATGAAAGCTTTGGGTCATACTGGAAAGAAAGCCTACTTCTTTCCATGGTCCTGACTTCACTCTTTCTCACTGGTATGCTGTTTTGTTTATACTTCTGTGGTCCTGCCCCATCCTTCACTAAGCATGCTCTTTCCTTTCCCAGAGCCTCCCTCCCTCCTTGGTTCATAATGTTGATAACCAGCAAATATTAGATAATTGAAATTATTTTGATTCACAGACCAAAAAATATAAAAGCAATTTCTGAAAATACTGTTCTGTTTTACAGTGTTAATTGGTCTCTAGTTCTGATTTCTAATCCTAAAATCTATGTTGGAATAGGATGAAAATACCTATAACTGTTGAGCTAGGATTTCTATGATATATTCTTTAAAAACTTATTTATTATTTCTTCACACAAAGAATGATCACTTTGGGTAATATTGAGCACTTCACTTTTTTTTTTTTCCAAATAGTTTATTGTCAAATTAGTTTCCACATAACACTCAGTGCTCATCCCCAAAGTGCCCTCCTCCATGCCCATCCCCCCTCCCCCCCCAACATCCATCAGTCCTCAGTTTTTGTCAGCATTCAAGAGTCTCTCATGGTTTGCCTCTCTCCCTTTCCCCCACCATTTCCGCCCTTCTTCTCCCCCTTGTTCCTCCGTCAAGTTCCTCCTAATCCTCCTATACGTGCAAACATATGATATTTGTCCTTCTCTGCCTGACTTATTTCGCTCAGCATAACACCCTCAAGGTCCATCCATGTTGCTACACATGGCCAGATTTCATTGTTTCTCATTGCCATGTAGTATTCCATGGTATAGATAAACCACATCTTCTTGATCCATTCATCTGTTGATGGACACTTAGGCTCTTTCCATGTTTTAACTATTGTGGAGAGTGCTGCTATGAACATTGGGGTACACGTGCTCCTATGCCTCAGCATTTCTGTATCCCTTGGGTAAATTCCTAGCAGTGCTATTGCTGGGTCATAGGGGAGTTCTATTGTTAGTTTCCTGAGGAACCTCCACACTGTTTTCCAGAGGGGCTGTACCAGTTTACATTCCCACCAACAGTGTGGGAGGGTGCCCGTTTCTCCACATCCTCGCCAGCATCTAGAGTTCTCTGATTTGCTCATTTTAGCCACTCTGACTGGCGTGAGGTGATATCTCAGTGTGGTTTTGATTTGTATTTCCCTGATGAGGAGGGATGCTGAGCATCGTTTCATGTGTCTGTTGGCCATCTGGATGTCCTCTTTGGAGAAGTGTCTGTTCATGTCTTCTGCCCATTTCTTCACTGGGTTGTTTGTTTTTCGGGCGTGTAGTTTGGTGAGTTCCTTATAGATTCTGGATATTAACCCTTTATCTGATATGTCATTTGCAACTATCTTTTCCCATTCCGTTGGTTGCCTATTAATTTTCTGGGTTGTTTCCTTGGCTCACTTTTACTTTTTAAATACTGAATAAAGTTTAAAGATTTTAACTCTTTTATGTCCTCCTTTTGTTATATTAACGTCAAGATATTTGAGTTCTGCTACCAACGTCTCACGAAAGATATTATTGTAACAAATTTGATGTATTTCTAAATTTCAGTTTAATAGACCTGCAACTTCAGAGTTAAATTGTGCCATCACTTCTCACCCAAAGGTATACATAAGTTACAACTTCCTTTTAGCAACAGAATGTTTGGTTTTCAATATCTTCAAGAATTACTGCAATAAATCCAAATAAATATCACTCCAGTTCATAGTTGTAATATGAGCATGAGTCAATAAACTAGATTATCTGAAATAAGCTTAAATTTTTAGTGATTTAGGTGACATTTTTAGCTGGTATTTATTGATTACCTACTATGCACAGGTATTGATTGATTGCTGAGGATTAAAGAATAAAAGTTCCTTTCTTCAAGGAGCTCACAGATTAGTAGGAATTGACTCATGTTGAAATAATGTGTTTTAACACAAAGCAAAATTTAAACATAATTCCTTAGTGGCTTTTTATTGTTATTTCCTTCTTTTTTTTTCAGTGAAATCCCACTAAAAGTATATTCCCCGTTTTGAAAAATTAGGGGAATTAAAACAAATAAAGCAAATTATATATCAATTAGCATACAGAAACATGGAATTATTTTTCTCAAAGATTAGCAATGGTCATTTGGTCATTTATAAGTGATGCTTGTATCACTTAAGAAAATAAGCACGTATTATAAATTAAACATTTTTGAACAATATTTTTACTAAATTTCAACCTTAAGAACTAATACTCAACAGAGGTGGGGTGTGCCACACACAACTGAGACCAGTACATTTAACCAAGGGCTAGAGGTTTCGATGAAGAACGTTCCTAAATGGTTCCCATGAGATTTGTGTCGTGGTGGGAAGTGCAATCCAGGTGAAGGCAATTCCTTCTCAGAAGTTTCACTCTTCCCAACCAGGCCGGTGGAAAACCTACTCGCACACAAGTTTTGCCCTCGCTCTACAAACGCTGCGGGACACTGGAAACTAAGTTAGAGGAGCGACCTGATTGGCTAAGAAATGAATGACGCAACGTATCTCAGGCCCTCTGAGAATCGGCCTCCTCCTCAATTTCCGCTTTCGATTGGTCCTTACGGCAAAGAGGGCAGGGACGTTTGCTGAAATTAACCTCCGGGTCCGAGACCCCGAGCCAAGATGGCGGCGGCCAGGTGTGGCGGGCTAGCGCTCCGCGGGCCGCGGCTGTCACTGCACACTGCGGCCGAGGCCGCTGTCGCAGCTCCAGAAGTGACCGGCCCACAAGTCGCGGCGGTGCCCGTCGCGCGCTACCCGCCAGTCGTGGCCTCTCTGACTGCCAAAAGCAAGGCGGCACGGCAGCGGCGAGTGGAGCGGTGGCAGGCGACGGTGCACGCGGCCGAGTCTGTGGACGAGAAGCTGCGGATCCTCACCAAGATGCAGTTCATGAAGTACGTCGTTTACCCGCAGACCTTCGCCCTGAACGCTGACCGCTGGTATCAGGGCTTCACCAAGACTGTGTTCGTGTCGGGCCTGCCGGCGCCGCCCGCGGAGCCAGCGCCCGCCCTGGACTTGGAGGCCCTGCGCGCCGCCGCGTGTGACTGCCTCCTGCAGGAGCACTTCTACCTGCGGCGCAAGCGGCGCGCGCCCCTCTATCAGGACCGCGAGGCCGTCGCCTCGCCCTTCCTGGATCAGCTGGTGGCCGCCGTCGTGGGCCTGCTCAGTGCACACAACCCCGCTCTGGTCACCGCCGCCCTCGGTGAGCCTTGGGGCCGCCACGTCGGGCGGGGGTGGTGGGGACTGTTCATGTCTTTCTCTCTGCGTTGTCATTTCGGGCCCCCCCCACCCCCTTCCCCCCGCCCCCCCATCCCCTTCCCCCCATCCCCCTCCCCCCATCCCCCCCATCCCCTTAGGGTCACCTCACTGGCCGACCTCCATCCCTAAGGCTGTTTTGCCAGTTTGGGGTTTTCGTGGGTCACACGGCACCTCATCTGCGGATTGCCCTCCTCCTTGCCGCCGGTGGGCTCGGCCCACCCCCCCAGCCCTTTCGCGCCTTGCCGGGCGCCGCCAGGTATAATAGTCACTGCCCTAGGAATCTGGAAACTGGGTTCTGGGGCAGGGGCTGCCACCTACTAGCTGTACAACTTTGCACGACTCCAGTCCCTGGCTCTGCTTTGTGAAGGTCCAGCCAAACGGAAAAGCAGTGCTGGTTGGGAAAAGGGGCTCTGAGAAGGTGCGACAGACCTGGAGTCGGCTTTTGGCCCTTCCACCGAAAAGTTCCGTGACTCTGTGTCAGTTCACTTCATCGTAGAATTGTGAACATTAAAGGTGATTGGGATTAAAATACCTAACATTTACTCAGTACTTACTCTGTGCCAGGCCCAGTTCTACATTTTATACGCGCCATCAATTTGATCCTCCCAATAACTGTTTATAGTACGTAGTATGTTTTATAAATGGAGTAAAAATAGCCTGAGGTACAGAAAGGTAAAATGAATCTAGTCGAGAGCCTCTAGCTGGTAGATTTGAGTTCAGGATTCAAACCTAGGCATTCTGGGTTTCCGGGAAACAACAACTTTTATAAACTGCTTAGTGCAGACTTGAAAAAAGTAATGAGTAGTTTTAAAAATCAGTGTTTCTGACGTGTTCTTTATATCTACCGCCTAGCAGGTGTCTTAATAAATACCTATTGAATTAATGTTGTTATTATAACCGTAGATGTGTGTTCAACTGAGCTTTGTAGTGTGCATGCTAATTTACTTCCGTCTCAGTTGGGAAAGAAGTGGCCTTGAGAGAAGCCTCACTGATTTTGACTCCTGATTGTTGGCCTAGGAAAACTTCCTTGACTTTGTCAAGACCCAAATTCCTCTTCTATAAATGGAGGTGATGACAACAATACCTACCTTTGAGAGTTATTGTGAAGATTGAATTAGTAATTCATTTTTTTAATTTTATGTTTATTAAAAAAATTTTTAAACATTTATTTATCTTTGAGAGAGACAGGGAGACACAGAATCCAAAGCAGGTTCCGGGCTCTGAGCTGTCAGCACAGAGCCCAACGGGGAGGCTGGAACCCAAGTGCTGAGCTGTGAGATCATAACCTGAGCCCAAGTCAGATGCTTAACCGACTGAGCCACCCAGGCACCCCTTGAACTAGTAATTCTTAAGACAGCTCCGACTACTAAAAATACTTACTATTTTTCGTGAGTGATATTCCTGTTGGTCATTCTTTGTTTATTCTTAACTGAGAAACCTCTTTCATTACGGTGTTTGTGTATTATGGATCGCGCAAATAGACAATAAGTGTTTGAGCATTATATTTAAGTCCTGATCATTGAAGTTAAAATATCCTATAAGCTAGACTCTATCTTACGCCAGAGTAATTTTTGGTATATTTTTAATATGCACAGTTATTCTTGAGTTCTGTATTGCTGGTATTTTAATAATAACCAAATTTATCTAAATGATGGGATAAGAAAATTTTGAATATCTTTTGACAGATTATAAACGTCCAGTTCACTTTTACTGGTTGCGTGGTGAAGAAATTATCCCTAGTGGTCATCGGAAAGGTCGAGTTGATGCTTTGCGATACCAAATAAATGATAAACCACACACCCAGATTCGAATGTCCAAACAACTCCCAGAGGTAAGGATTTATTGCATATGTATCTACTGACATCTGGTGAGGAAATGTCATAGGCAGCCTAGGTAATGGGCTTGGTTAGGACTGAAAGTTTTGGATGGATCCCTTTTGAGTTTCTTTCAAATACATCTCATCTGAAATTCATTTTTAGCTTTTTAACCTGTTATGGTATGTGTAGTCCTTAAAGGTCAAATAATCATTTTTAAGTTAAGATTAAAGCATCAGTTTTCAAGACCCTACAAATCTTTTTCTTAACTATAAAAATATAAACAATTGAAAATAGTTTATGATTGTAATGCATAATAGATTCCACTACCTAATCATAAACCAAGACATATTTATAATTATAAGCTGGTCATTTTACATATTTTAGTTCTTTTGGAGAAAATAAGTATGTTTTGAGCGTTGTCTTTGTGTCTGTATCAGAAGTTGGCACGTTTGTTTTTTTATAAAGGTCCAGACAGTACATATTTTAGGCTTTGGGGCCATAAGTCTGTGTTACAACTATTCATCTTAGTTCTTATGTGTCAAAGCAGCCATGTACCATATGTAAATGAACGTGCATGGCTGTGTTGCAGTAAAACTTTATTTGTCAATTAGATGGCTGGCTGGATTTGGCCCATTTGGTGATGTTATCAAATAATTTTGTAAAAAAAAAATCTCATTTTAAGATTTTAAATCTATTAACAATGTGAGTAAAGTATGTACATACTAGTGTTGCTATGAATTAATTTATGACTTTCCTTGAAGTTTGTGCCGCTGGATTATTCTGTACCTATCGAAATCCCTGTGATGAATTGTAAGCCAGACAAACTTCCATTATTCAAACGACAGTATGAAAATACCATATTTATTGGTAAGTTTCCCTTTTGAAATATTGTGCCATCAGTGTGTCCAAAGGATCCCATGCACATTTACATAATTCTTGAAGACCAAGAGGTTTCAGGTAGTTTCCAAGCAGAACAATAATCTCAGGTTGTTGCAGTATGCATGAAAATTGAGAAGAAAGTATTCTTTCAGATCACCATTTAAAATTTTACTTGTTTCTATTTAATTAGCAGCACTTTAAAAAATAGTACATGTATTAGGCTTTGTTGATTTATTGTGTAAAAAAAGTAATTTGTGGTTTTTCAAAAGGAAACCCATATAGAATCAGACTTGAGGCAGTGATTTTTTTTTTTTTTTTTTTTTAATAAAAGTCTTGTTAGTACCACACACTGTGATAACCATTAGGAATATAAAAATTAATAAGGCCTGATAGCTGTCCTTGTGCAGCTTGTACTTTTGCTGTCTTTTTGTCCATTTATAGTTGACTTGATGGTTTTAAGAAACCAGCTTTATACTACTTCTCTAGACCTATTTTATCAGCTGCCTCTGGGTCATTCTGGTCTTAGAGTGAATTATGGGAACTGTTGCTTGAAAAGACTACTACTAAACTCAAGAATATCAGCATTTCATGAAATACTGACTATTCTTTTCCTTATTTGGAAATATAGTATAAAAGTCATTTTTAAAAAATAAGAACAAGGTATGTAATTATTACATTAAAATGATAAAGGAAACTTTTAAATCAATTTTACATACATTCTTTTGACTTATCCTGTGCCATAGTGGGCTTGATGATAGCTAGTAGATGGTATTTTCATGTGAAGTTTAACTTTATTATAATCAATGAAATAAATAAGTAAACTATCCCAGTTGTGTATTTTGAATACTGATCACACGATGTGTAGAGGAGAAGGGTGGGTTAGAAGTAAAGACAAAAGAGGTGCTCCAGCTGTTCATGTGTACATTTCATCTGAAATGTTTTTATTTTGCTCTTCAGGCTCAAAGACAGCAGATCCCTACTGTTATGGTCATACCCAGTTTCATCTGTTACCTGACAAATTAAAAAGGGAAAGGCTTTTGAAACAAAACTGTGCTGATCAGATAGAAGTTGTTTTTAGAGCAAATGCTATCGCAAGCCTTTTTGCTTGGACCGGAGCACAAGCTATGTATCAAGGTAAAACTGATCTTATGCCATTACTGTTCTTGGAAGAGATCTGTGACATTTTAAGAATTAACAGTTCAAATTGTTTTCTTTGGGTTAAAATGGAGGTTGAATCATCATTTTGAAAACTTTCGCAATGACACAAAATACAATTGTTTTAAAATTCATAATTAAATATTTTACATTTTGCAGCTGGCAAGTGGCATTTAGATAGTTATTTTGATCTTTTCACTTTAACCAGTTTTGTATGAATGAATTTTATTCTGTTGTTCTCAAGCATATAAAAACACTATAGCCAACTGAGTCAACTTTGTAGATGATAGGAGCTTTCAGAAGCTGGAAAAGGACATGCTTTGGTGGATTAAATTTTAGATTAAATTACAACTATCCTATGTAATATCTTTGATGGTTATCTCCAGGATGTGGTGGATTAAGAGGTTGTTTATTCATTCAGTAAATAGTGATTGCATGGTTTTTATGAACCCAATACCATTGGCCTTGAAGATACAGTGTTGAATGAGGCAGGTAGCTCTTGCTGTCCTGGAGCCTATAGTGAGAAGAGTAAAGAATAATAAACATGTAATACTTTTAGCTAGTGGTAATACTATGGAGGAAAAGTAATATATAAGGGACAGAATGATTTATGGGGTGCAGATGGACTATGGAGCAGAATCTGTCTAAATGGAGTAATTCAGGAGAGGTCTCCAAAAATGACATTTGAACAAAGACCTGACTGTTGCGGAGCTTCCTAAGCATAAACCTGGGGGAAAGACACTTCCAGGCAAAGGGAATACAACTAAAAGTCTCTGAAGTAGGAAAAGACTTGAAGTATTTAAAGAACAAAGAAGAAAGGGAGGGAGAGGATGGTGGAGGATGAGACAAAGGAAGCCGGCAACCTTATCACTTAGGACTCTGAGAGCCCATTATGAAGCATTTGGACTGTATTACAAAACCTGAAGTGATAAACTGTACTATGTAACCAGATTAATCCTATGTGAGTTCCCAGGAGGGATTTTAATACTTATTTAATTATTTTCAAGCTCACCTTTTTTTCTCATATATATATGTAAATATACGTATAATTTATTGTAATTTTTTACTCACAGTTCACTTAAATGGAGAGAATAGGAATAGGATTAGACAGAAGCAGAGACAGAGGAATCTTCCTCAAATATGTTAGAGTGGAAGCGCCTGGGTGGCTCAGTAGGTTAAGCGGCCAACTTCAGCTGAGGTCATGATCTCACGGTTTATGAGCTCGAGCCCCTTGTTGGGCTCTGTGCTGACAGCTCAGAGCCTGGAGCCTGCTTCGGATTCTGTGTCTTCCTCTCTCTGACCCTCCCCCACTCATGCTCTGTATCTCTCTTTCTCTCAAAAATAAACATTAAAAAAAACTGAAGAAAAAAAGATATTAGAGTGGCACTGTTTATGCATGAAACATAAAGTGCTGCTTTTTTCCTATAATTAATTACAAAAGCTGACAATATTATCTATCAGGTATCTTCAGTAAGGCTGATAGAAAATATGTATGAAGAAATAATACTGCTGCTTGTCTCTGGCAGTAAGATTTAAAAGTTCTTAACCAGTCAGTCTAGAACAAGAAGCAGCCAGCAAATTTGAGTAGTAAAGGTTTTAAAGGCCTCCTGGAACCTAATGACACAGGATACGACAAAATGACGGCAGCTCATAAAACCAAGTTTGAAATATGTAAGGGAAGACATAGAATTTGTCTAAGGACATGATTGAAGTGCTTAGAAAGTCTGAAGGTATGGTTTTGTAGATTGGGGGGAGTAAATGGCTGTAATGGTTCCCAGGCGGCAGGTGCTACTGATGCTGGGAACGTGGGAACATATTTGAAGTCGGTGAGTAATGATGTTCAGTTACAGGGACATCAACATAGATGGAGCTTGCTGCTTTTTTTAGGTAAAGTAGGTTAAGGTTGAAAGCTGTTGACGGCCCAAGTTGTTGAGAATGTGTCATGAGTTTGGGGATATTAGAAGGGAGGAAATAATTTTTGATGCAGAAATAGAATGTAGGATTAGAGTGGAGAAGATGAGGAAGACTTCAAGACCTTCAGCAATTTGGTAGGTAAAATATCTAGGTTTCAGGTGGTATTTGATACCCTCTGATGTGTATGTTTTGTTTTGGTAAAATAAATTCTATGTGTCAATTTCGGTTTAACTTTTTTCTGTAGGATTCTGGAGTGAAGCAGATGTTACTCGACCTTTTGTCTCTCAGGGCGTGATCACAGATGGAAAATACTTTTCCTTTTTCTGCTACCAATTAAATACTTTGGCACTGACGACACAAGCTGATCAAAATAACCCTCGTAAAAATATATGTTGGGGGACACAAAGTAAGCCTCTTTATGAAACCATCGAAGATAATGATGTGAAAGGTTTTAATGATGATGTCCTACTTCAGATAGTTCACTTTCTACTGAACAGACCAAAAGAAGACAAATCACAGCAGTTGGAAAACTAAGAAGAAATCATTGATTCAAGACTTTGGGAATGCTTAAATTTCACTGAAGGAAAAATAAAAGGAACTTTAATGACGAGACCTGTAACTGTCAAGGCCATTATTTTGAGACAAATATTTCATGTTAACCTGTGATTGATTAGACCTCTCATTCTCCTCATACACTGAAAGATCTCATTTGAAATATAGTATGTTGATTTTAAGGTAATTTTATTCATATATGACTAACTGATGAGATTCATTGAGCTATCTTCAATATCTGGTATTAATTACATGCTATTTTGAAAGTATAGTAAGGACAGGAATTCAAAAGCTTGAGGATGTAGATGTGTTATATTTTTCTTTTTTTTAGTTTTTTTCATTAATAACATGATAGAGAGTTTCAGAGTCCTACTCAAACAGCTTTAAAACATGAACAATATTTTGCAAAGATAGGAAATTGAGGCCCAGAGGAGTTAAGTGAATTTTCCACAATTTCACAGATGGTTAATAATATAGTTGATGAATTATATGGAATTTAGGTTCTTAGCACTCAGAAGCCATGTTAACTTATTTCTGTTTATATAATTTGCTCTATCCCAAAGATTAGGAAACTAGGTTTGCTATGTTTCAGAATCAGTTGTCAGTTGGTAAAATTGTTAATCTTGTTGAGAATTAAGAGTCACTCGAAACATTTTAGTGAGGGCAAAGAATTACCTTTGTATAGTCATGCTTATTCTTTTTATTTTATATAACCTTCTGTTGTAAATATTTAAAACACCTCGTTAGGTACTGTAGTCATATGACAACCTCTGTTCCCTCTTTTCCTTCCTTCTTTCCTTCCTTCCTTCCTCGTTTCCTCCCTCCCACCCTCCCTTTCTTATTATCTTTCTTTCATGACGGAGGCCACGGTTCTATTGATTCCTCAGCCAGAAGCCTGGGGATTATTTGCCACAAATGATTGCTAAACTAAAGGAATAACATTTGAACAGTGGCATTCAATTCAGCCCAGGGCTTGCTTTGCGAGGCAGTGTGCTATGTTCCAGCTTTAGCACATTACTTTCAGTTTACTCAGAAAGCCATGTAATTACACACCACCATTTGTTTATTTAAGCAGTTTCCAAAGCTTGGAATACCATTCTCTTCCCTGGGTCCTGTCTGTTCAACCTATTGCATTCCATTCATCCTTGATGGAAAAATGCAGATGTGTAGAGAGAAGCTGCTTTACCAAGCTCCAAGTAAAACGACACCTCTCTTAATGTTAGCTTTCACTTTCTAACTCTTTGTACCTTGGGCAGTTTGAATTGCCATCCTTTATTTCCACATAACAAAATTATCTTCCAAAGTGTAAGGATTAAATGAGCTAGTGCATACTACAGTGCTTTTAAAATTCTGTGTAATTAAGATATTGGATTCAGTAGAAATGCCATTGCATTCCTTAAACTGATTATATTTAATTCATGTTTAATTATCCTGTCCTTTGAATACTTCTACCTCTGTGGTAGCACCTGTGTCATTCTCTTGTAATAATATTTCTCATTACAAATAGAGAGCACATACTACATACATACATACATACCTATACATACATGTCAGGACTTTACATAGCACACATAGCACTTAACTATATTAAAGAGTGCGGTCTAGATAATTTACATGTTGGTTTGTTTAATCGTCACAAACATTCCATGAGCTAGGTACTGTTCCCATTTTGCAGATGAGTTAAGAGGGTACAGGGAGCCTAATAACTTAGATCGTACAACTAGGATGTGGCAGGGTTGAAATCTGAGACCTGGTACTCAGATTCTAGAACCTACTTATTATTATGATTATTACTACTCTGGTATGTATTCTTCAGTAATACACTGTAGATGTCAATGCTACAGTCATAATATAACAGTGGCATAAATTTAGGTAAATGATAGGTTAATTCTGACTAATAGGAATCCTAGAAATGTGTGTCAGAGCAACTGGCATTTGAATTGGTTCTTGATAGATGGCATTTTCCAAAGACAGAAGGACACTAAGTGGATGGAGCTGTGAGTGAAGATGGAAAGCTTCAGGATGTACTTGGGAAATAGGTAGTGACTTGATTTATGCAAGTTGGATGTGGCCTAAAAGCAGTTGGGGAAAACAAAAATAATTTACCAAAAAAAAAAAATCTTGTCTCAGACTTCTGCATAACACTGAACACTAGGAAACAATGCAGCAATTACAGACTTCCAGAGGGAAAGTCACAGCAGAGGAAATCTAGGACCTGCCTAGATCTAGGTAATGTAAAACAATTGAAAAAAAATGTCAGAACACCCATGTCACTTATAAAACAAGTTTATAAAAATGTACTGCGATTGATTAGCAAATGATAATAGGAATCAATGAAGGAGAATCGAAATGAATATGAGTATACAAGGTCATATCAGGTAAAATTAAGCATAAGGCAGAATTAGCAATATTAATTTCAAACAATTCAAGGCCAAAACAAATTCCAGTATTAAAAGGTCATTATATATTGCAAATTGTAATCAGTGCATGAAATGTTAATGTAACTCTTAAGTTGGAGTAACCAAAAATAAGGAATAGTTAGTAAAGCTGATTAATAAAATTTGGTACCTTAGGAAAAATAACAGATTTTTAAAAATGTGATAGAACTTGTATACAAAATCATTGATTAGGCTATAGAAAGTCTTGGGAAATTTAAAAGCCAGTGATATAGGTCATGAACTCTATCCACACCACAATATATCTAAAAGTTATTAGTACAGTTTTTAACCAGGAACATGTAATCATTGGAAAGTAAGTGTATTTCCAAATAACTATAGAGTTGCTATTAATTTGTCTGAACAAAATATTCAGTATATAATCAAGCACCCCCAGAGCTATGTCAGAATCTAAAAGAGCTGTCTTACTTGCCTTTCCATTTTCAGTCAGATGTGTTATATAATCTAGGTATTTGTACATTTCCTGTGCTTAACAAATTAATTTATTTGACCAAGAAAACGTTATATTAATGTAAAAATGAAACTTTAACTAGACTGCAATGTAATAAAAGTGCTGCGATGCTAGCAGGATAAAGCTGAAGTTACTGTGAACACGTTTGCCCCTTGGGACACGCGACAATGCTGCAGCAGGAAGCCACTAACTAAACATAACCCATTTCCCTCTGCAGTTGTCAGCTGATTTTGCTTTAATACCTGAGAAAAATTACATTTATATTAAAACACATGGAGTCGAATGTAAAAAGCCACATAGATTTTAAGAGATAAAACATGAAATTCAAAGAAATTTTCACTATTCTTCAGAACTCTGGAAGAGCTCCAAATCCTTTCCTCTTTATAGTCTTAGATTTGAGATCTGTTTGCCAATTTATTTAATGGCAAATTTATGATGCTGTTTATATAAAATAAGAAAATAAGGGCACCTGGGTGGCTGGGTCAGTTAAGCGCCAGACTTAGGCTCAGGTCAGGATCTCATGGTTCATGGATTCAAGCCCTGCATCAGGCTCTGTGGTAACAGCTCGGAGCCTGGAGCTTGCTTCACATTCTGTGTTTCCCTCTCTGTCTGCCCCTTCCTCTCTCTCTCTCTGTCAAAAATAAAGAAACATTAAAAAAGTTTTTTAAATAAAGCCAGCGTTTGCTGGAGAGTTAAAAAAAAAAACTAAGGAAAATTAGAACAAGAAATATAAATGTAGAAGATGATGTGGAAAAAAACAGAATTGACACATAAATGCAGTAACTGGTTCTATTCTAGTCTCTCCTATGTCAGCAAAATAACAGTCTGGCAAATCTAATAAAGGGGAAAAGGAAAGCAATTAAAATTAGAAAAGGTGATGTAATGTACATGGGAAAGGCTCTGGATAAGAAAATACTATATATATATTTTTTTTAATTTTTTTAAAAATTATTTAGGAATTATAAATAATAATACATCAAATAAAGATAGATAAATTGATGGTGGAAGAAACTAAAAATGTGTCTGAAAAACTTCCTGCAAGGGTCCAGAGTGATACAGTTTAACTGTGGATTCTTCCTTTTTTAAAAAAATTTTTTACATTTATTTATTTTTGAGAAACAGAGACAGAACACAAGTGGGGGAAGGGCAGAGAGAGAATGAGACACAGAATCGGAAGCAGGCTCCAGGCTCTGAGCTGTCAGCACAGAGCCCTATGCGGGACTTGAGCTCACAAACTGAGATCATGACCTAAGCCAAAGTGGGATGCTCAACCGACTGAACCACCCAGGTGCCCCAAATGTAGATTCTTAAAAACTTCCATGAAACAACCTAAAATTTGGAATGCTGCTCAATTCATTTTATTAAATGCTCATTTTCCCAATTTTTAAAGAAGTCAGCAAGAAATTTATAAGTTAAATGTACATTTCAGTATAAATGCAGAAATCCCAAATAAAATGCTAACATACCAAATTCAACAATTAAAAGAATCCATCCTAATAAGGTAGATTTAATCCTGGAAATAGAGTAATGGGCTGTTGTTACGGTGTTAGGAAATACGTTAATAGAGGACATCAGTAGTTCAAAAGAGGGACATAAGGCTTTTGATAAAACTCTTACTATTTAAAAAAGGAAAGAAACCTAGGTAGACACTTTAATGAGAACCTTAAGTTAGTCAACATCCAACTTAGGTTTTATGGTGAAATATAAGTACTATTCCCACTGAAGTCAGGTAAACTTCAAGCTTTGAACTTTATGTGTTAGTTCAGGTGCTGGAAGCCTGGAAGTAAGCACTCACTGAAATTTTGTAGAATGGATATAAATTAATGAACTTAAAGTAGTATTTCTAGTTTGAGATTTGCTGGATCTCCTTATTTGTTTGTACTTTTTATATCTCAGCAAAATTTAGCATTTTCTTTATGAAGATTTCTTCGTTATGCCTAGATTTTTGTGTAATTGTAAGTAAATTTTTTTTCTTTCCAAGTATATGATTTACAACTTTTAAAAATGGCTTTGAGTAGCTATGATGGATACATATTTTGTAAAAGTCCATTTAACTGGTCCAATCTGATTTGGGTTCCTCTAAAACTGCTTATCAGCATGGACAGTTATTAATCTCCTCGTAGCAAAATCCACTGGACAGTTCTATGACCTTA